TGGGCAAGAGAGATTTTGGGAGTCTTTGATGCCATATATGGATAGACAGACAGCAGGATAGCAAGGACTCTGAGGAACATTCAGACATGCATGACAGAGAGCAAAGACCTTTTTATAAGTTTCAGGAGAAGCAGGGAGGTTTGATGAAGGGAAAAAGCTTGCTTGATCATGATTTTCAGTACAAACACAGACCATGGAAGCAGGGCCTCAGGATCCTTCTGACCTTTGGGGTTTTAAGCAGGAGGTGTCAGAAAAGTTACCACAGGGATAACTGACAGTCGGTCAGTTTGGGGTCCTGATGCAGAATCACCTATGAAGATGCAGAGAAACAGAGCTACAGACAGGCATGACTTGAGCAGCAGCTGATGTTGGATCTAGCACACAAGGCTTCTAGACATCTTGGTATGAACAGCTCTGCTAACAGGATGCAGTGTGCCCAATGCTTCACCCATCACAGTGGGAATTGTGACCTTCTCTCTGGCCACACCTTTGTACAAGGGAACACATGCTGAAAGAGATTCTGGTTTCACATCTGGGGTGATGTCTCCTATAATTGAGGAATTTGGTTCTGGGCCTCAAAGGCCTTCATGAGAGCTCATTTTTTTAGAAAAGAATGGTTAGGCTAGTTGCTTTCATAACACACACACTTCAGAACAAAAGATAATGAAAAAATTGGTTGGATATATAAGGGAGAAAGAAAACCACAAACCTCAAGCACAGTGTATTAATTATGTTCTGGAAGGGAATATAGAAACTCCAGTCTCCCAGGCAGCTTGTTAGCCATTGCCTTTCAGAGGAGAGAGTGCATTCGAGGTATCTGTGGGTAGCAAAAGAGAACATCTGTCCTTAGATACACATGGTGTCTGCTTTTGTACTGGAAACAATGAGGCAAGGTTCAGTGATGAAGGTCTTTACCAAATGGAACTTATAGAAACATAAGAAAAAAAAAGAAATATATATATATATATATATATATATATGTATGTATGTATGTATGTATATGTATATGTATATATATAATAAGCAAATATAGGAACTATAAGAAAATATGTACCAGAGAGAGAGAGAGAGAGAGAGAGAGAGAGAGAGAGAGAGAGAGAGAGAGAGAATTGGTCAGTCGGTCTCATCTCAGTTGTCAATCCTGTGATATGGTATTTGAATAGATAAAAGTTAGTATCCACTGCTTTCTTATATGGTGCATTGTATAACATTACATGTTATTTCCTGAGTCTGCTTATTTGGGGGAAGCATCTGTGGGCACTAGGAATTAGATTCCAAATTTTCAGAGAATGAATCACAAGTCACTGTATCAGGCTCCAGTCAGATCTGATCCTGATTGTTGGTGGCCATTTTAGAGTTTACTCTTAGCTTTCTTGTCTACATTTCTCTCCAATGAGATGAGTGATGGGTGAAGATCACATTTTTTTTTCTGATACTGTACTCCAGCTGAGAAGAAATATCTGAGGGCTCTGGTTGGCACTGATCCATCATAGTGTCACAGGGCTGTAAGCCTAAAAGCCTTGAACTGCATTAGCAAAGGAAGAGAGTGTGTATCATGGGGTGTGGAAATCTAGAAGGTTAAGCAAGCAGAAGCTTAAGACAGACAACAGAATGACAAACAAGAACAAAGGGACTATGGGAGCTAAGAGAACTCACACAAATTGAAAAATGCTTCCTAGGAATGGAGCCACCCAGGAGGTCTGTATTAGTCAGGGTTCTCTAATGGAACAGAACTTGTAGACTGGGGACTTATTAGAGTGGCTTACAGGATGTGGTCCAGCTAGTCCAACAATGGCTGTCTACTAACAGAACATCTAAGAATTCAGTAGTTTTTCAGTCTACAATGCTGGATGTGCAAGTTGGTCTTTGATGTACTCTGGAATGTCAAAGAAAGAATGTCTAAGAATCCAGTCGTTGTTCAGTTCATGGTGTTTGATGTCCCTGCTGGTCTTCAGTATACTCTGGAATTCCAGAGAAGTAGGCTCTGATTCTAGTGAAGGAATGGTCACCCCAGTGAAAGTGAGGGCAAATAGGCTAATAGCAATGGCTTACTCCTTTTATTTCCTTTATATAGGCTTGCCAAGAAGTTGTGGCCTAAATTATAGGTGGTCTTCCCACTTCATAACATCAGGATTAAAGTTAGGCCTTCCACTTTAAATGATTTAATTAAGAAAAGTTACTCACAAGTGTACCCAGTATTTAGTTAATTCCAGATGTAGTCAAGTTGACATCCAAGAATCGCTATCAAAGGATCTATACCAAATTTTGATTTTACCTCTTGATAGTGTCTAATTTTGGGAACAGTTTCCTCTACTTCTAAAGTAATGGCCTTGAAACACCAAGAGTCCCTGAGCAGTGCACATGTGTCTACTGAAATGATGTCTAGGTTTGGAGGACTATTCTGTCAGGGAGTTGACACACTGTCTTCACTGTCTTTAAGTGGGTGAATAAATGATTGTGGCAGTTCCAAAAGTAGTTTCATATGTGGGGCATTGCTTCTGCTTAGTAATGAGAGGAGAAGGCAGGAAGCTCAAAGTTATGTGGTTCTGCTTCATCCTCCAGACAGATGGTGAATTGGTCCGGGGGGGGGGGGGTGGAGGAAACAGGGTGCAGACAACCATGGAGTACAATGGAGACAGCCCTCTGGGTGATGACTATTATGAGTCAGTTCAGCTTTATTCCAGACTATAGGAAATATATAGGATTGGGGAGCAGGGGACAAACCCTAATCTGCATCAAGTGGCACACTCCTATCACTAGGCTTCATATGTGGCAGTAGGACCCTATAGCAGAGCTCCTAGCATAAGTTTTAGTTACCTAATATGAAGCAGGGGAGGCTTCTAGCAGGAAATGGTACCCTGTTACACCCTAGAGATAAATCAGACATCTGGGCTTAAAGATAGCTTTCAGATAAGGTTGGTGCTCCAGTGTAGGGCCCTGCATGGACCCAGGAGGCCCGTTGAGCAAGCCTGAAGCTGTTGGCTGGAACATCTTGCACCAGAGTAGATCTTGGTACTCCTCTTGATTTGCTAACACACATATGCTGGGGAGGAACTAAGCCCAAGAACTTGCACGCTTGACCCTTGATTGTTTTCCACTGTGCTGTAAGTCAGTATAAAAGCCCACTCCATCCCCTCAATAAACGGCATTCGGCATTCAGCATTCCGGCTGCACAAATGACCCACTGTCTTGTCTTTTATTTCAATCTCTAGGCCTTCACCTGATTAGTGAAACAGATCATAGCACAGGCACTACACACCAGGCCAAGGACATTCTCCAGATATGGACAGGTAGAAAGCAGGAAGTTCTCCTGAGGAAGAGGAAGTCCTCATGTTTTTGAGCTTTGGAAAAAGCTGCCAGGCCATGATAGACTTTAACCTCTGACCAGCAAGGCCTTCAAACAATGTTACATATCCTTTTGGTGCTAAATAATCACAGCTTATTTTTTGCCCTTGAATCTGTTTGGGAGGTTTTTGGACAGCACACATGTCCTGTGTAATTCTGCTTTATCAATGGTACTTTAACATTCCTGACTCCAATAGTAGGACAGGGAAACAAGATCCAGAATGAAAGGCCTGTTTTCCCATCATGCTTTCCTTCAGTGATTCTGTAGTTTTCCTTGTCTTTCTATCTCTCCCCCAGGAAAATAACTTTAGTCTGTTGGAAGACGAACCCGAATCTGCAATTTGGACTTCAGTGATTCATTGAGCAATTAAACAAATGCCCAGACATATATCCCATTCACCGAGTGTTAGGGATTTAAAATCTGGAAGCAGAGGCTGAAGGCAACAGTGCCCTTCCATGTGGACATTCATAGCCTAAAATGTGTAGCACCTGCTACACTCCTCAGCCACCCAATCTCAAAATTCCTTCCATATCACAGCTACTGATACCCATTTGAAAGCTAGTGAAATAAATATGTGGATAAGAATCTAGAAGTACTTGGACCACTGGGTAGAAGTATAAAAAGTGAGCAGGCATCAAAGCATTTTTTTATTTAATTTATTATTTTACATGTCGATCCCAGTTCCTCTCCCTCCCTCCCTCCCTCCCTCCCTCCCTCCTTCCCTCCCTTTTACCCTCTCTGCCCTCTCACATGCACTCTAACCACCCTCCCCTCCCATCCCCCCACCCCAATTCCATATGTAGGACAATGCCATCCAGTTGGGGTCATGTAGATCTAACAGGTCATGTGAAGCAGGGACCAGGGCCTCTCTCCTGTCTCTAGGTTAAGGCAGTTATCCCTCCATGGGGGATGTGTTCGCAAGGTCCTTTTGTGCACCAGGGATACATCCTGGCTCCACTGTCTGAGGTCTCTTAGACTGCTCAGTCCTTCTGGCTGAGACCCATATTCAGGGGGACCTGAGTCAGTCCCATGCTGGCTTCGCAGCTATCAGTCTGGTGGCCGTTAGCTCCTCCTTGTTCAGGTAAGTGGTCTCTATGTGTTTCTGCCCCCTGGTTTTGTCCTCTCCAAAAATTTAAGTTCAAGGACAAGTTACTGGGGAAAAGGATTTCTATTTTTGTTTCCACAGAAAATAAATAGATGTGGATTCCTTCCAGACTAATGTGGTTTGATCAAGCCAGACCGCCTAAAACAGAGTACCAGGTGATCCAACATTCAAAACAGCTGGACAAAGCAGGCTTACAGACTACAGCCAGGATTTCTGAATCTTCTTACAATCCCCCATGACAGCGCCCCTTACCAGCAGGAAGTAGTTTGGAAAGAACGACGCCCAAATTCCCAAATATTGTGTATAAATGTTTGTTTTCATTTAAATGGACTTGGTTATATAACATAAATAAATAAATTTAAAAAATTCATCTATAAGAAAAAAAAAAGAAGAAGAAGTGATCAGGCATACTGAAACACACAGGATCTGTGCTTCCCCCAGGCTATCTACTCAGTCCATCCCCATGGAATCTCATTGGCTTCCCTTTCTAGCCTGAGCTCATATATAAGCATGCATTGTAGAGACTAGGCATTGAGTGCTCTATCCTGCTCTCCACTGCTCTCTTAACCCGGGATCATACTGCCATGGGGAAGCACTTCTTGCTGCTCCTGCTGGGCCTCTCCTTGGTGGTGGGCTTCCTGCAAGGTGAGATCCTGGCAGATGGAAGGGGCCAGTGCTGGTGGGCAGACATACTGGTGAAGGGTATTGGGTTTGGGGAGGTCCCGAACAAGATGTAAGACCTGACTACTTTTATATGTGGACCCCACAGCCCTCATCTCCATATGCTCGCATCCATCTCTTCCCCTCCCCTCTGCTGTATACATTGTGGGCTTCTTCAATCCCCCTCCTCCTCTGTCATGCCTGTGCTCCTTGTGTCCTTTCTGCTGGTCCTTCAGTTCACCTCTATATTCTTAACAAACCTTCACAATTCCTCCAGCTTACCTATGTATAGACCTAAATTTGTATTGGAGGTGATGCAGGAAGGTACCTGACAGGATGGAGATGATGAAGTAATTGATGGGACCACTTGTCTGTTACAGGTGGTAGGCTCAAGCTCATAGATTTGATCTTCCTCCTCACATGGCAGTCCATTCACAGTATTTGAACTGGGGAAACTTGGCTCTTCAAATCCCCTCCTAGGGACCAAGGTCGGGGGCTACCCAGTAGGGGTCAGCTCAGCATACATCCAGCTCTTTCCTTGGTGATTGTTTCTTATTCATTGATTATAGCCACAGGCTCAGCTCCTGTCCGATGATTTAGGAGGTGCTCTGAATGAACCTCTTATCCTTGCTTTTGCCTTTTTAGCTCTGACATGTTTGCAGTGTGACTTGTTAAACTCTGATGGAGTGTGTGAGAAAGGAGAAACCACCTGTGAGGCTAAAGATGACCAGGAATGTGGCATAATGGTAGTCTCTGAAGGTTTGTAAAGCCTGGGACATGTTGGGGTTATCCTGTTTGTTGCTTAGGAATGAATCAGCCCACTTTATAACCTGGCAGAGACTTGGATTCTGTGTTTCTGTGTAAATTCAGGAGAAGTCTCCTTTCCATTTGCTACTGGTTGCCTACCAGTACCTTTGCCAAATGGAGAAACTTTTTTGAGGTGGGAGGGTTCTCTGCATGGCCTCTAGAGATTTCTGGAAAACATATTCTGGAATGAGAGGACTTGAACTGTAAAATTGCAGGCAGTAATTTTGGGGATGGGAGGCATGCCTGCATGCTAGATTACAGGTTGATAGATGATAACTACAGTTACCTGAGTGTGGCTGGCATACATTTCACTGGGGAGTGTAGGTCTCCTTATTTTGTGAAACTCTGATGTCCAAAACATTTATGTTTGGCCCTCATTTTTTGTTTGTTTTGGGTTTTTTTGGTTTTGTTTTTGTGCAGGTCATGAAATCCTGTTTGGGCAGCAGGATTGTTCTTCCAGGTGTTTAAATAATACTTACACCCATTATAACCTAACACTGGACTTTACGTGTTGCCATGACCAATCTTTGTGTAATGAGTTTTAGAGGCTGTGTCCTTCCTTGCCCAGTTCTGCTGCAGGTGAGTCCTTATTTCTTCCCTGTCCTCTCAAGTCTTATGACACTGAATCATCAATTCCCTGCATGGCCTATCCCTGTCCCCTGCCTGGAATCGGCATCAGCTGCTGATGTTTCAATAATCCAGTTGGCAATAGAGCAATGTTTTCTGCTTCCCCAAATCCCAAGTGCTTTCTCCTTTCAGATTCTTGCTTCCTTCTTTTCCTTCCTCCATCCTCCATAATTCGCTGATGTTTGCCCCACTTTCCTCTGTTCCTCTCACTTTTCTGTTGTCAACACTGTTTTATCCTAGTGAGTATGACAGACCTCACAGCCCCCTTCATGAACCTTCAGATTAGTGGTGCCTCTTCTTCCAAGGTTCTAGCAGACATTAGTTGCAGTGTCTCTCTTCATTCTTCTTCACTGAATGGAAGACATATGCTATATGATCTCTCACTGCTGTGACCTGAGTACAGCAGTATAGTGCAGCAATGATATACTTTAGTTTATGATTTCAGAGGTTTGCATCGTGGTGGGGAGGATGTAGTGGACCAGAGATGTTCACATTATGGTGTGTAGGACACTCAGCTGAGCATAGTAGGAAGGGATGAGGACAGGATACAACCTCCAAGGCTGTGGTCCTTGCTTTCTCCAATTCAGCCTGTAACTCCCTTAATAATCTATCCAAAATTTGAATGTATTAATGGCTTAAATCATTTAATGAGGTCAGAGACATCATATCCTATCCATGTCTAGAATGTGACAGACACACCCAGAACAGTGTTTGAGGACTCTCTTAGACATCCTTAATACAATCAAGTTCGTGGTAGGGACAGATTAGTCATCACATGGGATGAAGTCACTTTAGCCCTGCCACATCCAATTCTATTTTGTGTGTGCATGGAAAGTTGGCCCAGTTTAGCTTTATCCCTAGTAAATTACATACATTTGAAGTTGATGTTGTTTGTGTCTTTATTTGTATATTTTTTCTAGCACATTGGGTACTAATCTTAGAAAATACAGACAATGCTGTCCAAGGAAGCATGGTTAGTAGTCCCATCCCACCCTGCAAAGACAGTTTGTTTATAAAAGTTTTAAAATAATTGAAAAGTTATGAAATATATTTATATGTGTTTATATATGAGAATTTATACACTTACAAATATTAAAAGTCACTATAATCTTTTTTCAGCACTGTTCACTGAATCCTGTCTCTGGAGCATGCGAGCAAGCATTCTACTACTGACCTTGTCATGAACCCTATATCTTGGTCTTTCTATCATATGCCTTACATCTTTTGTAGTCTTAGTGTATCTTACTCTACTATATTTGATACTCTGTCATTCTTGTGTACCTTTAAAATATTAATTTGTTAATTCTGTATACTTGTCTACATTACTTTCAATTACAAGTTATTTACATTTATTAATTTTGCCATGTGTTGTTGTGCCATGATATGTGTGTGGAGGTTCAAAGTGAACCTTCAGGAGTCAGTACTCTCTCCTTCTTCTCTGTTGGTTATGAAGGCTGCACTTAGTACTCAGACTTAGTGATCAATGCACTCACAGTCTGTTATAGTATCTCTTCTCAAGTTTAAAATCATACAATTAGGGGGCCAAAGGACAAAGTTGTTAGTCACTAAGCCTGATGACCTCCATTTAGTTCCTTAAATCGACATGGTAGAAGAAGAAAATAAATTTATACAAATTCTCTGATCTTCACAACACACATACACACACACATACAGAGAGAGAGAGAGAGAGAGAGAGAGAGAGGTTTACAATGCATACAGTGAAAAGTAATACAATTAAAGTATAGCATTATTCATTTTTCCCTTCCTCTACATTACCCTTCCATTCTCCACCCCATTTAACCCTTTTTGTACCATCGTTCTCCTTTATCCCTTAATACCACTGCATTCTTTTCTTGAAGTCCCACTCTCCCAAGGTCCTTTAATAATTTCTTGATATTTGTGGGTATTCCTAGTGCATTGTTGTACATGTCTGAAGAATCAAAGCTAATACCCACAAATGAGAGAAATTAAATAGCAAGGGAATAAATCTTCCAATCAACAAATGGGTAACTGAGTGGATAGTTTCAAAAAGAAGGAGAAAGAAGGGGAAAGCAAGAAAAAAACACAAATGGCCAATAACCTTTTAAAAAGTGTTCAAGTGGATCTCCCTAGGAATGGGAGAAAGAATAGATAGTTATGAAAAGTGAGGATCAAACTAGGAGTGGGTGGGAAGATTTGGTAAAGGGCAGATACTGGAAGGGATAGCTAAAACTAAGGGTCATTTGAGGGGGCATATGGAAACTTAATGCAGTTGAAACTTCCTGTAATATACACATATATGAAGGCAAGCTAAATGAAATTGCCAAATAACTGGGCAAATAGAACACCAACTGTACATTTCTTATCACCATATGAAAATTCTAGGACTAGGACTGGATTCCATCTAATTGAGTTGTTAGACAAAGGAGTCCCATGGTGTAGTAGTTTGAATGAAAATGGCACTCATAGGGTCATTGAGAGTGCCACTATTAGGAGGTGTGGTCTTGTTGGAGTAGGTGTGGCTTGGAGGAAGTGTGTCACTGGGCATGGGCTTGGAGGTTTCAAATGCTCAAGCCAAATCTAATGTTGCTGTCTTCCTGCTGCATGCTGATCCAAATGCAGAACTCGGCTCCTCCAGCACCATGTCTGCCTGTGCACTGCCATGCTTCCCACCATGATAGTAGACTAATCCTCTGAAACTGTAAGCCAGTCCCAATGAAATGTTTTCCTTATTAAGAGTTGTCATGGACATGGGTCCCATGTCAGCAATAGAAACCCTAACTACAACACATCAGAACTCCCAAACAACCCACTTTGCCAAGGCTTTTGGTGGCTTTCCACAAACTAATGATAAGGCCCTATTACTGAAGACAAAGCCTACATAACTCATTAAACATGGAGAAATAGAGCTAGAGACTACCTAGAGCCTTCACCCCTATGAACTAATAATATGCATGTTCAAGAAGGTATTCTGCATGCTACCAATGGAGAAAGGTAAATGCTAACCCAGCTACAAACCATTTGATCTACAACAGTGGCCTTCCTGCAAGATGTAATAGTGGAACTAAAACTATGCTGCTGGGAGTAACCAACCAATATTTGATTAGATTTAAGGTCCCTTCATGAGATGGAACCCATACCCAATGCTGATGGGTGACCAAAAACCTGAGATTAGTTAGGCCAGATACCTAGGGGAAAACTAAATACTACTGTTCAGCTAAAGCAGTGTTTCCTGATGCTGCAACCCTTTAAAACAGTTTCTCACTTTGTGGTGACTCCCCCAAACATAAAATTATTTTCACTGTTATTTCATAACTGTAATTTTGTTACTGTTATGAACCATAATGTAAATGTATGATACTCAGCATGCTATGTAACTGCCGTGAAAGGGTCATTCAACTCTCCAAAAGTGAAACCCCAGAGGTTGAGAAGCACAGAGCTAAAGGAACTTAATAATAAAAGTACTTTAATGACAGTCTGCTAAATTGTAAAACATTGTCTTGCTCAAACGTTAACAGAGATGCTTCCTCCTGTAGCATATGAGAACAAACGCAGATACCCACAGCCAGACAATACGGAAAGAGTGAAAGATCTTGGGACACTCAGCCCTACATGGAATGTCTCCATCAAATCCCTCCCATCAGGGCTCAGGGAACCCTGGGGAAGAGGATGTAGAAAGAGGATAAGATCCAAAAGGGAAAGAGAACACCAGAGAAACAAAACAACAGGCTCTATGCACATAGGGACTGACAGAGACTGAGGCAACATTTACAGGACCTGCATTGGTCTGTATCAGATTAGGCCCTAGGGCTGAAAGAAGTGGACACATCTGTAACCTAGAAGTTGGCTCCAATGAGAGCCACTAGCAAACGAAAAATTAGTTTGCTTTAATGGAGTCTCACTGAGGAAACAAACCACTCTTACGAATAGCCCCCATGCCCAGCTTTAGATGGCCAACAGTTTATGACATCTTTGGAAGTTCCATTTGTCTCATAATAATGCTGTCAGAGCATCATCATCATCATTACTATTGTTATTATTATTATTATTATTATTATTATTATGTACTACAGGTCTTTTGTGTATATATTATGGTTTCCAGTTTGGAGTTTCTATAAGACTCCTGTGTGTACAAATGTATGTGGTCCTGTGTCTATATGCATTTCTTTTGGTTTTATTTTGGCTATCTTTTCCTTATTTGGTTTTTGTTATATTCTGATTTTGGAGGGGGAGTGGTTTTTACAAAAATTGGTGTGAAGCCCCTCTGTTTCTGTTCTTAATTCTAATTGTATAGAAGTTCAATGAGTTCTATAGGCTATGGGTTTGGTTCGTTTTTTATCTGTTATGCTTTTATTTATTTATTTGCAACTTTTTAAATAATAAAAATAGAAAGAGCTGAATAATATTTCACTATGTAGATATACTATACTTTCATTATCCATTCATTAATTGATAGACATCTAGACTATCAGTTTCTTGACTATTGTGAATAGAATAGCAGTGGATTTGGGTGAGCAAGTACCTATCTACAGTTGGGTATATATGACCAAGAGTGATATGACTGGATAATGTGGTAGACCCATTTCTCACTTTTTGAGGAACTTCCACTCCAGTTTCCACAGTGGCTATCCCAGATTTGCATTCCCACAAGCAGTAATTAAATATTTCTCTTTTCCTATATGCAAGCCTGCATTTGATTACCTGGAGCTCAGCCATTCAGACTAGAGTAAGATTAAGTTACAAAGAAGTTTTATCTTGCATTTCCCTAATGATGAACATTAAATCAATGATGAACATTAAAAAGATGTTTCTCAGCCATTTGCATTTCATCTTTTGAGAATTCTCTATTTAGTTTCATGCCTCATTTTTTTTCCATTGGGCCATTTTTCTTAATATTGAGTTTTTTGAGTTCTTTATATATTATAGATGAACTTTTGGTCATATAACCAGTAAATATTTTTCCCAGTTCTGTAGACTGCCTCTTCACTAGAATGACAGTGTGCTGGACATGGGCAGAAAGCAGTCACAATTTTTGACAGTATCATAAGAATAATCTCTAGCTTGTGGCAAGAAACCTCCCTGAAAATTCTTGAGCTGGGTCTCAAAATCCTTATAGTTCACAGTACTACTGTCTTCAAAGATCCTAGTATGGCCCATTAAACACCACTCAGAGCACAAAAATAGACAAGTAGACTAATTGAATCAAATAAAAAATCCTGATATTAACCCACAAAGCTACGAACTCCTGATTTTTGATAAAACATCTAAAAGAATGCAATGGAAGGAGGAAAGCCTCCTCAACAAATGGTGCTGGCACAACTGGATGATGGTGTGTAGAAGACTGCAGATAGACACATGTCTATTGCCATGCACAAAACTTAAGTCCAAATGGATCAAAGACCTCAACATAAATCCAGCCACACTGAACCTCTTAGAAGAGAAAGTGGGAGGTACCCTTGAAAAAATTGGTACAGGAGACCACTTCCTGAACATAACACCAGTATCACAAACACTGAGATCAACAATTAATAAATGGGACCTCCTCAAACTGAGAAGCTTCTGTAAGGCAAAGGACACAGTGGACAAGACCATATGGCAGCCCACAGACAGGGAAAAGATGTTCACCACCCCTACATCTGACAGAGGGCTGATATCCAAAATATAAAAAGAACTCAAGAAACTAGTCAACAAAACACCAAATAACCCTATTAAAAAATGGGGCATAGAACTGAAGAAAGAATTCTTAATAGAGGAAATCAAAAAGGCTGAGAGACACTTAAGAAAGTGCTCAACATCTTTAGCCATCAGGGAAATGCAAATCAAAATAACTCTGAGATAACATCTTACTGCTGACAGAATGGCTAAAATTAGAAACACCAATGACAACTTATGCTGGAGAGGATGTGGAGAAAGGGGAACACTCCCCCACTGCTGGTGGAAGTGCAAACTTGTTCAGCCATTTTGGAGATCAGTATGGCATATCCTCAGAAAAATGGGAATCAGTCTACCAAAGGACCAGGCAATCCCACTCTTAGGCATATACCCAAATGATCCACATCCATGCAACAAAGACTAAGTTCATAGCAGCATTATTTGTAATATCAAGAACCTGGAAGCAACCTAGATGCCCCTCAACTGAAGAACGGATAAAGAAGATATTGCACATTTACACAATGGAATACTACTCTGTGGCAAAAAAAAAAAAAAAAAAAAAAAAAAAAAAAAAAACAATAGAATCTTGAAATTTATAGGCAAATGGATGGAACTTGAAGAAACCATCCTGAATGAGGC